TACCAAGAACAAGACAACAAGAAAAGAGTCATAGCTTATGCCAGTCGTGGACTTAGTAAAGCAGAACGGAACTACCCTGTACACAAGCTTGAGTTCCTTGCATTGAAATGGGCTGTCACTGAGAAGTTTAAAGACCACCTCTACATGAACAAGTTTACTGTGTTAACAGACAACAACCCGTTGACATACGTCCTTACAACAGCCAAGTTAGATGCTACTGGACATAGATGGATTGCAGCACTATCAGCATACGACTTCAACATCGTCTACAGACCAGGTAAAGCCAATGCTGATGCTGATGGTTTGTCAAGGCTACCAGGACTGCTCGGAACGACCAACACTTCCAGCATGTGTACTGAGTCCGTGAAGGCCATCTGTAACTTGCAGCACGTTCAGCCGTACCTGCAATGTTTGTCAATGTCAACGACAACAACTGATGATCCATCCTTGCCACCAAAGTCTATGGTCAACATCAAATCAGCACAGAAGAACGATAAGATTATGAAAGAATGGTTATACTGGGTCCAAGAGCATAGAAAGCCAACCAAACATCAGATAGAAAGAACGCCATGGAACATCTGGTTTATCAACAACTTTGACAAGCTTATACTAGAAGATGGCATACTGTACAGAGAAATCAACATCGACCAAGAGCCAGTGAAACAACAAGTTTTACCAGAAGCCTGTATTACTACAGTCCTTACAGCACTTCATGATGATATGGGACACCAGGGCCGTGACAAGACACTTTCACTAGTCAGAGATCGTTTTGTATGGTATGGTATGACCAGAGATGTTGAAAACTGGATAAGCCATTGCAACAGATGTATACGACGCAAAACACCAGCCAACGAGAAAGCACCACTCATCAACATCGAGTCTTCTCAACCGTTGGAACTTGTATGCATGGACTACCTGTCATTAGAGAAATCCAAAGGCGGCTATGAAAATGTACTTGTTATCACCGACCATTTCATCCGATATGCCTTAGCTGTTCCAACTAGAAACCAGACTGCAAAAACAACAGCAGAAGCCTTCTGTAACCATTTTGTTGTTCACTATGGTTTGCCGAAGAGAATCCACTCTGACCAAGGCGCTAACTTTGAGTCCATAATCATCGAAGAGTTATGTCACATCACTGGAATGGAGAAGTCGAGAACCACGCCATATCATCCTATGGGGAATGGCATGGCAGAACGCTTCAACCGAACACTGCTCAGTATGCTTGCTACCCTTGAAGCAACACAAAAAAAGGATTGGAAGTCGCATATCGCTGGACTCGTCCATGCATACAATTGTACTCGACAGACAATAACTGGCTTTTCACCATACTACTTGATGTTTGGTAGACCACCAAGATTACCAGTGGACATTGCCTTTGGTTTAGATAAGAAAGAACCAGCAACGAAGTATGTTGATGCCATGAAACAGCGACTAAAGAAGGCTTACGAGTTGGCAACAAGATCAGGAAGAACAGCACAAGAAAGGCAGAAGTCAGGTTATGATAAGAAAATAAGAGGAGCCATTCTGCAACCCGGCGACAGAGTACTTGTCAGAAAAGTAGCCTTCGACGGGAAACACAAGATTGCAGACAAGTGGGAAGAAGACCCGTACCTAGTTGTTACACAGCCAAACAACGATATCCCAGTGTACGTGGTTCATAGAGAAAATGGAGAGGGAAAGAAGAGAACACTACACAGAAACCTTCTACTCCCAATTGGATTCCTGCCGAGTGATAAAGAAAAGAGAAAAGATCCTGCACCTGTAGCCAGGCGGAAAGTGAGACAGCCTACCAGGAAACAACCGATGAAATCTCAAAGCATCGAGCAGATTGATGAGACGGAATCAGATGAAGAGTCGGAGCAGGATTACTATGTAATTGTGTCTGAGATGAGCCCACAGAGCAACAGGGACAATGATGCTACAAGTGTGGAAGTGGACCAGACAACAGGGACTCTCAATGCTACTAGTGTTGAGGGAGGACAGGGCTCTGGTTTTGGAGGGGACGCTCTTCCTGCAGTTGAGATGGATACTGGAGAACCAACCCCTGTAGTTGACGATGGTAATGGTACAGCGACGGGCCATGAGTATGAAGATGACACTTCAGATATGGTAGATGGCAGTGCGCTGACTGACACGTCACTTGGACCGGCAGATGTACCCACAGAAGCTCAGACAGAACAACCAACACCACCACCACAACGACAACCACAACGTCGTATATTGCCAACACCACCACGACATTCACCAGATTCACCAGTTACTCGACCCCAGAGAGAACGCAAACCACCAGCTTACCTCAAGGACTACGTCACCACGTCAACACAGCCAGACTGGTTGAGGAGAGTTAACTGGTTACTACAGCAAGCAGAGAATGGTAGATTTAGAGGACAAGAGATAGAGCTTTCCAGAACCATTATGAAGATTATGGAGAGTGACCTTTAGTGTTCCATCATGTCGCGGACGCCATGCTTTCTGGAGAGGGGAAGACAGTTCTGATGACAAGGAAGTCATTTTTTCAACAGAGGGGAGGATGTAGCAGAGTGATTTTTTATGCTTCATAAATTGTGTAATTTGCACTTTGGAAATCATTGATTTATATTAAAAATATACTAATCAAATTCTTATTGGAGTCTTAGTTTTATTATTTCACTCTTGCAAAGTATTGTTACTAAAGGACATTTATCCTTTAAGATTTGATTTAGTATATAATTTACGTATTGAGTAATGTTACTCATACATATTCATGGGGGTTGAAATTGAACTCTTGTTTTGATTGGTTCTTAGTTATTGGCGGTTAAGTTGAGTTTTTCCTTTGTGCTCTTTGGGTAGAATTTACCTGGACATTGGTCAGTGAAAGACGTCCATTTATTTATCCAGATGTTATAACTCAGAAACCATATTTACAGACTGTATATTACTAGATTCAGCTTTATAGTTTTCTAGACATGACTAGTAAGTTGCACATTCTTCTTTATTAACATTTTGACACGAATTAATAGATTTGGTTAACTTTCCTATTTTCGAGTAAATACTCTTCAGATCGCATGTTTATAACACCGGAATGAAAGATTTCAATGAGCGTATTTTGGTAAAGAAGCTAGGTCATATTTTTATAGAGTAATGTAAGATTTGCCGCTGGTCATAGCGTAATTATATAATGTTTAGAGATATCGTAATAACAGTATTTTACGAATACTGCATGTAGAAAAATGGCGGCATGTATGATAAATTAGAGTATATTGTGAAAAGAATATTCGAGTTACATGTTCGCGTAATGCTATTTTTTTTATATAGACGAATTGAATACAATTGTCATGTGTTTAGTATTTTATATAATTACTAAGAGTCCGTTCTTATTATTGTATTTTGGTTTTCAGGACTCTGATGTAGATTACTTGTTTATACTTTGTGCCAAGTTCCTAATTTACTGGAGAACTCACTCCACAAGTGGTAAGCGCATAATTTGTAGTTTTTGTACTATTTTATACTATAGAAATAATAGTAAATCATGGATTATTTCCTTTGCCGATTTTCGCATTTTTAGCAAACCAGTTGTATAGAATTTATTTGTCGATATTCAGACATAGTAAATACTTTTTGAATGTTGTAATATTTGTAAAGTTTAATTGTAAACTTTCATGTAATTGCGAGAAGTAATTTCAATATACATTTTATTCTATTTGGTTGTAAACACGATGAAACTGATTACCGTTATATTTAAATGTCGGTCACAGAAACCGGTTTATTAAAGTACATGTGACATGTGATGTACATTTCACTACACAATTGAATGAATGAACATTCCATAGTAAATGTGTATCTACTGTTTATAGTAACACTATTATATTAGAAATTGTTTAAACTGTATTAAAATTGTCTGTGATATAATATGTGTATAATATATTCTATGTTACATGAACTATCATTAATGTTTATAATTTTGTTATTTCAGAGTTTTTATTCTCTGGTAATAAACCATCCGAACTCTAGAAAGTCTTCTTATTTATACCGGAAGAGACTCCTTTCACACAAAACTAACAAAGGCCAGAGGCTCCTGACTTGCGACAGGCGCAAAAATCATGTCTGTTATATATGTTTTTCGAAAATTGTTTTGTTATAAATTAGGCCGTTAGTTTTCTCGTTTGAATTGTTTTGAATTTTCTTGTCGGGGCCTTTTATAGCCGACTATACAGTATGGGTTTTCTCATTGTTGAAGGTCGTACGTGTGCCTATAATTACTTTCGTCCACTTCATTTGAACTCTGGCAATAATAAATCTCCTTATTTTTAGAAGACATTGAAAAAAGTAAAATCACAAAATACAATAGATCAAAATTAAAGTCACATGGACCCCTCTAGCATGTCTAGTGCTGGTGGTCCAGATGGGTGAATATTTCCTATTCTAATAGTGACACACGTAAACTTTATAGAGTTACAATGAGTCTGTTTAGGTCATCTGATATCTCTGTATATAGTTGCTTTAACATATAATAAATGCCTTTTCAGAATGGTACAGATGAGTCTATCATGAGAGTGTCCTTTCGCATACTAGTAATATAATCATGTACCTTAAAGAAATCTCAAATTCATATATTATATACCAGCAATAGTAAACTGTTTACCCTAAATGAACCAATCGTGGCATATTTTCGCAAATTAGAATAAAAGCAAACACGAAGAATCTTAACCCGAGATATTTGGACTTATTGTTACCTTTTGAATGTTCATTGAACGGAATGAACACTGTATGAATTTGGTGCGTCCGAGGTGCTTTTATCGATTTTCCTTCCCATGAATGCTCAAACCCAAATATTTAAAATGACTTAAAAACCACAGTTTACCATCCCCTACCCATCCGTTGGTTGTAACATAATTCTCATGCTGTTGTCTTTTGTTTAGTGCTAAAAATGATATTGAATCGTCGATATACAAGAAACAAAAGCATCGTTTATCCCCCATAACAGATTAAAATTAAAATGATAAAATCCGTTACAATACCTCCTGGTACATCCCTTTCTAATAAATGCTTGTCAAACATGTTGATAGTCAGGTTTCTTTTGCAAGAGCATTCGCCAATTGAACATATGTAGTCTTGATTCAAATCTTCCGTACTGAAATTTCTTATTATTATTTCAAATCCATTCTTTCCTAAGAATGGCCAATACTTTGAAGAGTATTCTGACGGAAAACCATCTAGCGATAGTAATGAAAAGTCAGGGCCTCCATACCATACTTGTCTGCACTTTGTACACAAATGTTTTGCATTTGTTTTGCAAATAAGTGTTACATCTCTGCTCCTTGTGAGCCCATTCAATGGAAATAAATCATCTTCTTCATAGTCTGATTTAACTTCCCAATCAACTGAAAAAAGAAATTATTGTGGAATATTTTGATTGATTGATTGTCGGTTGCTTAACGTCCGGTGTCAAATATTTCAAGCATATTCAGGACGAGAACAAATTAACAAAAAATACAATAGGTAGGTCCTGTAATAAAGGCAATCGGGGATGAATGTCGGGAAAATTTGGACTGTCAAAGGAAAATAAGGGTATAACGGATAGGGACAGAAATTTAGAATTGCAACAAGGCCACCTACGGACCCCTCAAAGAGCTGTTGCAAGGGTTCTTAACGTGCCAAGAGCGTGGCACTAACGTCCCCATTCTGACCGGATGTGGCTGCGAAGTTGTACATCCGGCACTGTCAAATGGACGCCCCACTTTGGCAAAGGTTTTACTGTCGGTCGGAGGAGGATCACTAGTTGTATTATTTTGAGAGCTTATGTTAATTATTTTATAATACCCTATGGAAACTTATATCTACTGAAAACTTGCGTTAAGAAATTGTTATCATTTTATGTCTGATATTAAAACCACTACAAAAAATTAACACAAAAAAAACTTTATTCCATTCAACACAGTGACGAGAATTGCGTAACAAGATAAATAGGGACAAGTACGGACACTGTATGCAAGTTTGATACAACTCTGAATTTTGATTGTGATTAAATATTGGACACAGCATGGACACAAAATGAATGTGGTCAAAGAACAGAAAAATTTGAAATAGGACTTTTACATATTATGGTCCAATATCAACCAGCATTCTGTGAGTAATGCATGGCAATACATAGTCCCTTACCGGTTAAAAATTCATTGTATTGGAACAAACTTCTAACTTGATATATAACTTGTCATGGTGTAAACTATATAACAAATATCAAGTCAATGTCTTCGAGCATGACAAAAAAAAGTGTTGAAAACTGATTATTTAAGTGAATTTTGTAAGTCCAAGGACCATAACTCTGCACAAAATCATCAGACCGGAACAAAATTCAAACTTGATCTGTAACTTGTCATGATAAAACTATATACCAATTTTCAAATCAATATCTTTCAGCATGACGAAAAAGTGCGGAAACTGATTATTTTAGTGAATTAATTTTTTAAGTCCAAGGACCATAACTCTGCGCAAAATTATCAGACAGGAACAAAATTCAAACTTGATCTGTAACTTGTCATGATAAAACTATATACCAATTATCAAATCCCTATCTTTAAGTATGACAAAAAAAAAAGTGCGGAAAACTGATTTTTTAGTGAATTTTCTAAGTCAAAGGATCACAACTCTGCACAAAACCATCAGACCAGAACAAAATTCGAACTTGATCTGTATCTTGTCATGATAAAACAATACGCCAAATATCAAATCAATATATCCATGCATGAAGAAAAAAGTGTGGAAAACTGATTTGCCGGACGGACGGATGGAAACAGACAGACAGACAGACGGACGGAGTGCAAACCTAAAGCCCCCTTCGACCGTCGGTAGGGTACTAAAAACATAAATACACGGTAGATTCAGCATATTTATGTACACCAAGAATTTAATTTATTTATCTATTATTCATGTTAATGGACAATAGTAGCTTAGTTTTTAAAGGGGTTCGCTTCGTAAAAAAAATATACATATACATGTATATGCTTATTTGGTGCATTTTCAGCCTTATTTTTTTTTTTTTTTTTTTTTGCCTTTATATATTATATATATAGCTTTCTGAAAATTAATTTATACCGAATAACTAACCAACTTACTCCGAAATTCTTCAATCAATTTACATAAAAATTGAGAAATAAACCAATTTGCAATGTCTTAAATGAATCCAGTAAACTTACCTTTTACATTTCCAATAATGAACAGTAAATTCAAACTATATACATTCATAATTTCTTCTCTAAAATTAGAATTTGATGATGTATCTATTTTTTACAATGAATCTACTTACAATTTCTATGTATCGTGCAAAACAGCTCTGAATTTGGATTGTGATTAAATATTTGACATATCATAGGTTTTTGACACAGAATGCATGTGGTGCAAGAACCAAAAATTGAAATTCGACAAGTTATCTATTATGGTCCAATATTCAAAATCTAAATACATGGTAAGATTAAGCATAGCAAAGAACTCAACTAAATTAAATTTTTGATGAAATCATACTAAGCTTAATTGTTGACTCTTTGGACCTTAATGTGCATCAATTTGACAATGGGGCCCAAAATCCAAAATCTTAATACAAGGTTAGATTCAGCGTGTCAAAGGTCCCCATATATTTAATGTTTGGTGAAATCAAACAAAGTTTAACTTTAGACCTCAACTTGGACCAACTTGAAAACTGGGCCCAAAAACATAAAAAATCAAAATAAAATCATGTTTAGATTCAGCATACCAAAGAACCCCTTGAATTCAAGTTTTGTAAAATCAAAGAAAGTTCAATTTTAGACCCTTCGGACCTTAATGTAAACCAATTTGAAAACCGGCCCAAAAATCAAAATAATAAGTACATGGTCAGATTCAGCATATCAAAGGACCAAAAGAATTCAATTTTTGTTGAAATCAAACAAAGTTAATTTTGATCCCTTGAACATTAATGTGGATCAACTTTAAAACGGGCCCTAACGTTAAAAATCTAAAATGATGGTTATATTCGGCATACTAATATCAAAGAACCCAGCTAATTCAATTTCTTATGAAATCAAACAAAGTTTTATTTTTGACCCTTTGGACCTCAATGTGGACCAATCTAAAAACTGGCCCAAATTCCAAAATCTATATACACGGTTGGATTCAGCATATTGAAGAATTCACAAACGGTTAAGCCATAATCCCCAAAATCAATCCAACCTTCCCTTTGAGGTATAAAACCTTGTGGTACAATTTCATAGAGATCCATACAATTATACTAAAGTTATTGTCTGGAAACCAAATATCTTCGGACGACGGTAACACTGTCATAACATTATATGTTTGCTGTCGTAAACAAATTGAATAAAAGAACCTTTTTAACTTCGGATAGATTGTCATCATTTTATTGAATAAATGCAATAAAAATTTCAACGAGACCGAATTATTGCTTCGAATGCTTATATATTGATATACAGAGAGATTTGTCTGTTACTTAATCATATTATGTTCATAAATTTGCGTCAATCACTTATAATAATTTCTTTTCTTTCTAATGCCCGCCAACGATAGAAAAGGGAATTATGTTGTCTGGCCTGTGCATCCGTCCTTCTAATCGTCCAGTACCGGTTTTAGTTTTTGGTTTATAAGGAAGATTAAAGTGTATGTTAAGGGTAGTGTGTGGTCACATGAACTTGAAACTATGTTTAAGTTCACTATGAAGTAAGCTGTTTACTACAAAATTGAGAATGGAAATGTATGTATGCCAAACTAGGGTTTTGATCCATATTTCACGGTTAACTGAACATAAATATAATATATTATAACAGATTAAAGTTTTGGTATGGTAGTTTGTAGTGATCTCAACTTGAAACTTAGTAAATATGTTTCAAAACTTAGTTTTCCCTTCCAGAAAACCGGAAAACATCCCCGGTTTTTGGTGGGGTTCGTGTTGCTCAGTCTTTGGTTTTCTATGTTGTTTTTTGTATACTGTTGTTTGTCTTTTGGTCTTTTTTCGTTTGTTTGCCGTGGCGTTTTCAGTTCAGTTTTGACTTGTGAGTTTGAATGTCCCTTTGTTATCTATCGCCTCCCTTTTAGAACATAATTGTCATTTTTTATTAAATGAACTGTTTAATATTAAGGCAAAAATGGGATTTTGAAAACGATTTCACGGCTCACTGATCACATACAAGTAAAAATGTGCGAGCTGGACATAGCAACCTATACCATTGTAGACATATTCTTAATATATTTTAATTTCTGTTTGACCCATGTTATATCAAATTCAGATTTTCTTCGTAAATACTCACTCAATCAGGCGGAAACCCAGTGGAATTTAAACAAAAGAAATTGAACTCTTCGTTAAAGAAGGTAAAACAGCAAAATTGGTATATTTGAATTGTTTACATTTGTTTCTATGGGCTTTAATAGTTTAATAAAGGTGCATGATTTGGGATTTTATGCATCTTATATACGTGTTTTACTTGAATTATAGTATGAAGCTTCGAGGAGATATTTTTAAACGTTTAAATTATAGACAAATTTCATAAAACAGTCGATTGTGGCAGGTTTAAATCCAAGTGGATCTTTTTTGTGCATAAGCACAAATTCCGCCGAAAAATTCAGAATTTTTTTAGTCTGCCCTTGCACGAAATATTTAATTAGAATTTTTTAAATGTTTTTGAACTTTCGGAATTTCCACCTGACAACCGATCACACAATAGTTTTAAGTTGACTGAATGCAGAAAAGGTACATCAAATGATGTTCAATAGCTAGTAAATAATTTGTCTTTTAAAACACAACTGGCATATAAGGATCGTAATGGTGCTATGTGGATAAATTTATGGGTTTTCAAGAGCTAAATTGGCAGCCCGTCATCCCTACAATGGCTTCCATTTTTTCGATTGTAAAATTTGACTGGCGTAATTGGGAGATAATTTTGACAAAGTACAATGTAGAATCCTGACTGCAAAAAGTCATATAAATTATTAACGCATTCATTACAGATTTTTGTATATTTTTGCTATTTGAATAGCTGTCTTGCTACTGTTATAAAAGTTTTGAACATAAAGGTAAACGCCAATACGGGTTTAAATCACTGAAAATGTCATTGAAGGGAAATACATTTGCATTTCCTATAAGGGTATGATTGTCGACTATATCATTGATCTTTTTTGTCGATAAATTTTTCTCTCCCTACCTTTTATTGTTTTGCCAAAGGCAAATAAAGGTGAACATTTTCATTTAAGGACAATAACCTCAACATCTTTGATGAGTTTCCACATTTATAAGAAACACACAAAAAAACTCCAAAAATGGTATAAGTTGTCACATGTATTCGAAAGACAACACTCGTTTGAGATCTTCAAACATGTCACAAATGTTTTACTTCCTATCCGAATGATAATTCATCGCAAGTTTGGTTTGACGATGAAGTTGTTTAAGGTTTTAAGACTGATGGTACTAGCTCATTTCATCAATATGGTCAAGTTATTTTAAATGTACAAATATTTTAATATTTTTAGATTTAGATAGATTTTCAGAATTTATTTCCTAATTTGAAATAAACCAGTTGTTGCTGTCCTTGTGTGATCTTTGGAATATTTCTATTTGAAAAACATAACATCCCACAAGAGGAGGAGATCGGGTGTGGGAAAGGGTCTGGAGGTGGACGTTGAGGTGTGATTACCTTTTTCTAGTTCTCTGTTTTTCTGTTTCAAATGTGTTAACTTGTAACCGTAATAAAATTTAACTTGATTATATGAACATATCATACATACCTTCTTTACACTCGCTTGTTATTGTATTTGCATCAACAGAAAAAGTAAGAGAAACACAGGATAAGAGTAAGAGGATCATAGTTGCCGACATCGTTAAATCATTCTTGGAAGGAAAAATATGTTGACAATTGCAAGTTAAAAGAAATCGGCGCATATTGAAAAAGTGTCTGTCAGTGAATGTATACACTATCGTGAGTCTGAAAATATACAAAATTACTAATAAAAGCAAACTTTAGGTAATAACAATATAAGAATATTGGGTATCTGACAAGCAATAGAAGTTATACTTGAATATATTAAAAAAAATCATCTAAACAAATCACATATTTTGCATTTCACTTATATACACTCATATGTAATGTTTTGTACATTTCTGTATCTAATTACATTTGTAATTGGTTAATTTATGCCATATCAAACAGTGACGTTATCGGTCAGTTTTTTTTTACATTGAATTCCGCAAATACAAAGAAAGGGTCATTTGATAAACAACTGAGTCGCTTCAGAACATTTGCCCATGTCAAACAGGTTGTGAGATACATTTTCTATTAGCAGAGATGTTTCTTTAATTTGCTTTCTTATATTATCTCTTATTGCATTTCTTTACCACTTTATATTCTAACTCTGTTTATATATTTATACATCCCTAGCTTTCAAGTGTTAAGGTTTGGGCGGCTTTCTTGATGATCTGAAATGCGATTAGGACGTTCAGAGTTGATAGTTTTATATTCATTCGGAATTGTTCTCTTTTGATTCAGTGACTCCTCTTTTGTAGATCCACCTGAATATGATTCACAAACTAAAAACTTCACGCATATCTTTCGTTTCATGTGCAATTTCAGATTTGAAGCTTTTTAAAACAAAGATGCGTAGCGACCGCGCGAATGAAAAGTAAAAAGGTGTACTTAAGAGCAACCAATTGACAGATTCTGTCATGCAAGTTATTTGTATGTCATTCTATTGATAAAAATTTGTACAGTTTACATGTTCTTCCTATCTATACACGTTTAAGTGATAATAAACAAAATGCAAAACCTGGTACAAAATTATCACTTAAACATGTGTTAAAGGCAATAAATCGGACATAAAGACACAGAGGGTTTGTTTGTATTATTCATTGTAAGATTTATGTAAATCTTGTATTGCTGATCTTTAAAAAAATATAAACAGTTTCTGTCTATATATATCTATTAACCTTTAATAAATAGGCAAAAACACTAAATTTGTAATAATCGATATCTTAATTAGTTTCCAGGGCAATATTCCAAAGTTATTGTATCTATTCTTCAGATTCATTCTATCATGTGTACTACTCCATATTTTCTCTTTTTTCTGTCTGTTTGCTTACTCACTGGTATCAATCATCCTATACATATCTATATTCTTGTCAAGTTATCTAACATATGTATCTTGTTGTGTCTATTGAATGTTTAAATGTGTGCATTGGTTCGGTTTTGGCGGTGCAATTAATAACAGTATATTGTTAAATTTCAATTGCAACTTTATAATTTGATTGTTTTTATCTAAACTTTTTATGATAATAGACAAAAATATTGAAATTGGTAATAATTGCGATCTTACAGCAATAATTCCTATAAGAAATTGATCGGTTTTATGTATACTGGTATTTTGTTGTTTTACTACTGATCGTTTAGCTTACATGTTTTCTTCTGCTTATGTACCAAACATTTTTTGACAATAGACAAAGTATAATATAAGAAGTAAACTGATTGTTTCAGTCATACTGGTAATTCTGTAAATATTACATTGCTGGTCTTTTAATGCTGTTTACAACTTCTGTATATTGGCAGGGCAATAGTCGATTTTTATAGTTTTCAGGGCAATATGCAAAAGTTATTGTATCTATTCTTGAGATTAGTTCTATCATGTGTACTTCTCCATATTTTCTCTTTTTTCTGTCTGTTTGCTTGCTCACTTGTATCAATCATCCTATATATATCTAAATTCTTGTCAAGTTATCTAACATATGTATCTTGGTGTGTCCTTTGGGTGTCTAAATGTTTGCATTGGTTTTATTTTTTGCTGTGAGATTGTCATGCAATCAATGACAGTATATGTTAAGTTTCTATATAAATAAGACGATGTGGTATGAGTTCCATTGAGACAACTCTCTATTCAAGTCAAAATGTGTAGAAAGTAAACAATTATAGGTCAAAGAACGGCCTTCAACACGGAGCCTTGGATCACACCGAACAGCAAGCTATAACAGGCCCCAAAATGACTAGCGTAAAATTGTCCACAATTTTATAATTAGATTTTATTCCAGGAGCGTGATCAGTCCACATTGAGCAAAACACAAATCCGTTTCAACCAGTGCGAAGTGCCGTCTTAATATGACAGTTATTTTTTTGGCTTACGATCTGTGTTGAAAGCAAAACTATGACTGAGATGAAGAAATGCAACAAAAGCGCCGTTTGTTTCCTTCACATTTTTTTAATTGGTTGTTGTAATTTTTTGCCATAAATGAATAAACTAAACCCTTTAAAACTATTAAATTGGTGAAAACGATTGTCAATTATTAAGGTATACAAATTGGTACATAAGCACAAGGAGTCGTCTTATTATCTAGAAACAAAAAGGTAGTTGTGAGCATTTTGAGAACTTGAATGTCAGATTTTCTATATCTATCATGGTATTCAATATATTAGAAAATCTCATCCATTTTACCTCTATGTTGATTTCTTCCGTATTGACGGCCAAGTGCTTTGATCAATGGCAACACAAAGCACAAATCAGAAACTACATAGCATAAGGATTACTTTGACCAAACTTATTGATACATATACGTCTGGATTGGTGGTTTTCAAATAGGATAAAGACGGACGTCCATCGAATGAACGCAGAAGACACCGAATGACGAGAACTGCGCATATATACTTGATCTATCATCTAGAGTGCATGACATAAATTAATTCACGGTTTTTCTATAAGATCCATGTTGCTCAGTCTTTAAATTTTCGTTACGTAATTTTGACGGGCTGTTATTTATCTGTCTTTTTGACTTTGTCCAGTTGGGAATTATGGTGTCTGTCGATCTTCGCTTTTTATCATTTTTACTGTCCCTGATACTTTTCTTTTAAAACTATTTCCTTATCAATTCCTTACTGCTGACAACACCTTTAATTTTACTGGTTTGCTATACACTTTTTTCGTAAATTTAAATTATTCATTAATTTAAAATCTAAGTTAAGTTTTTAATTTTCTGAAGTATAAAATGCACTTAAATTTTATATAATTTTTTTACCTAGGTCATGCTATGAGTTAAAACAATTCCAGATGCAGAGGTTTGCCTGCACTTAAGGTAAATTTCGTGATGAAAACACGGCCAGTTTAGCCTAGCTAAAGGTCAAGATGAACCTTCATTCAGCTTTGCAACTTTGATTTTGATATTTATTAATTATACTTATAGTTACTTAGTATAATACTTCGGATTTCTCATTAAGATTCATCATTTGGAAAAACTTCCTTTTGTTAACAACCTCTTTAACAATGTAATATAATGAGAACGGATTACCATGAAGGGGATTAAAATTAACACAGACTAGCCCATGATTTTCTCGAGGTCTTTTCATGTTCATTTAGTATGAAGGGAGAACTCCTTTGACTAGTTATCGATCTGTCTTTAAGAAATATGTGGTTTAGCATCGGGTTTAAGTTAGTTATACACTTCGGGATATGGCGTGTCCGGATAAGAAACCGCGACGGCCGGACCTATCCCTTAGTGTATAACTATTACTTGTTTCATTTGCTGAATGTTGATCATTTACGTTGTATTTCAATTATATAAATTCTGATTTTTCTTTTATACACTATATGTGTCAAGACTCGGTTCGATTTAAGGAGATCATATATTCAATCGACAATGAAGACCATTGTTCATACGAGAGGTTCAGATTACCAGATATTAGTAACTTAACATTCATTATAAGGACATCAGGGAGTCATCTAAGATTGTTCATCAGAATTTCTCTCTGGTCTGCATATAAGGAGCTGTCGTAAAGGAAATGGTGTACAGTCTCAATCTGCACACACAAAGACTAGATAGGTCAGAATTATATTGACTCTGAACAATTCATGAATCAAGCAAGATGAGGAGCATCTTAATTGAATTATACTTAGTAATTATATTCAGTTTTATCGGTCCATATAAATAGTGCTTAGGTACATCTTTATCTATAGTATTTAGCCTTTTTAATTGGATTTAAATTTTGTGATAGAATCTGCTTTTCGAAGGTACAAATCAGTATTATTAGTTTTATAGTTGATGGTATAAAATATTCTCTTGTAGGGGATAATCTACAAAAATCCACAAGGGGGTTACGCGGAACCCTGTTCTCGCCTGCAATTGCTGCTGTCAGTGTAAAAGTGTAATGATGACTTTTAAAATTTTTAATCCCAGACTGTCTGTAAATGATAACTGTAAAAAAACGAAGTCAATCTATCAAAAAAATACTTAACATGAAAAAAAAATATTTTCAAAGGTTTGCTTGAGACATTATATATATCTATTTATTAATCATAAAAAAGCTTCTGTCAAGTTTCATAAAACTCTACGAAGGTTTGACAAAGTAATTAATGTGTAACAAACTTTAACCCCAGACTGTATCTACTTGTGAACTGTAAAAAAAATAAGTCCATTTATCAGTAAAATACAGAAAAATGAAAATAAATATTTTCAAAGTTTCGCTCTGGATACTGTATTTTGGTCACAAACAAGCATCTGTCCAAGTTTCATAAATTTCAATGAAGGTTTCACAAAGTTATTGATGACTGAAAAAGTTTAACCTCAGACTGAGCCTGAGGCTTGACTGTAAAACAAACTAATAGATATAGGAAGATGTGGTATGAGTGCCAATGAGACAACTCTCCATCCAAGTAACAATTTATAAAAGTAAACCATTATAGGTCAAGGTACGGCCTTCAACACGGAGCATTGGCTCACACCAAACAGCAAGCTATAAAGGGCCCCAAAAATTACTAGTGTAAAACCATTCAAACAGGAAAACCAACGGTCTAATCTATATAAAAACGAGAAACGAGAAACACGTATGAACTACATAAACAGACGACAACTACTGTACATCAGATTCCTTACTTAGGACAGGTGCAAACATTTGCAGCGGGATTAAACGTTTTAATGGTACCAAACCTTCTCCCTTTTCTGAAACAATAGTATAACA